TATAATTAACATTGTAAATTTATTGTCTTCGAAATAAAATTACTGATCATAAAAAAAAAATAAATCCATTAAAATTTTGAAAGATTAAAGTAGTAGTAAAATTTTGGTTTAAACGGAAAAATGCGTCGGAAAGAGGAGGAGGAAAACGCCGGTGGTGGAGGAGGCTAGGGTTCCAATTTGAGAATTATAAAACTATTATCGTTTACCATGTTTTAGAGTTTGTAGAATAACGGTAGAAGACACACTTTTACATTCAAAATTTTTTAGATTAGTTATAAAAAATGAATTTTTATATAATTTAGAAAGAAAGAAAGAATAAAAAGAATAATATCAAATAAATATATAAAAAAATTAATGTTAAAATATCAATTTTCTTTTCAATACACTAAAAAAGTTCCACTTTTCTCTTATATTTATTAACCTAAAAAACACATACACAAAGAAACATCAATCGCAACTAATTGAAAAATAAAAATGATTACAAACCTTTCATGTATCTATTATCGTTCTTATTTTCTTGTATTAAATTTAAAAATCTCATTTTTTATTTTTATTTTTAATTCTCTCATGTTTCTTATCTATTCATCCAAACGAAACATAAGTATTTACTTACTAATTATAAAAATATCATACTAACTAGATCAACAAAGAAGATAGATGATAGATTATAAGTTATAATAATAATAATGATATACAAAATTAATACAATTAAACATATATTTAAAAAATGTTATAATAATCATGATTTTTGTAATTCATACTTCTATTTCATCCTATCACTTTAATTGAAATATTAAAAATGTTGGTATTTTAATGAATTTTCCCTTTTTAAACGGCGATAATAACTTTATGTAGGTGATTAAAATATGAATAATAGTTTATTTCAAAACCAATTATTTAAATTCTTAATAAAATCATATATATATATATATATATATATATATATATATATAAAGCAAAATATAAAATTTATTATTCATTATTCTTATTTTTCCAATTTATTGTTATTATTATTATTACACTTTATTCTCACTTTTTTAAAGCAATACACTATATGCTATTGTTATCGAATTTAAATTAAATATGATTTTGATTGAATAAATATGATATAATAAAATTAAATAAATACGGTTAAAAATATTATTTGATTAATTATAGGAATTAAAATGCTATATTTAAAAACTAAATTCCAAAAAACGAGAGAACAAGAAAAAATGATTTAAATTATACTCACTATGGTTTATTCAGTTGAGATTATCCTAATAATATAATATATTACCCTATATAAGCAATTATTTGGGACGACGAATCATAGTTGAGGCGAGGGTGAGGTCGCGTAGTTTCGTGTTTTGTTCCTTTTCATTGTCGTTTTTGTGTCCAGACCTAACCCTAGCTCCGCAACGCAACCATGTCGACCAAGCAAGGTATAATCCCTCTTCTTTTTCCTTCTTTCAAATTCCTGATTTCGAGGGTTTCATTGATTTGAACCCTCAAATTCAGATCTGTTGGTAAATATTTATTATTTTTGGGTTGGTAATTAACCTTATCGATTTTTTCTCTCTTTTGTTCTTGAAGGTGGAAAAGCTAAGCCTTTGAAGAAGCCCAAGTCTGACAAGAAGGATTACGACGAGGTATTTCATTCAACCCCTTTTTTAGTTTTCTTTTTTATGTTTTAAATTTGGTGTCATCAATGATTAGATTTTCCAAGGTCGATGCACGTTGGTTTGATGATTGTTAATTTGTTTAAGGAAGGGAGAACGGATGATTGTTATTTTTAGGCTTTGGTTTGATTGTTGGGTGTTTTCATGAGGAACTTTTTCAAAAGTTTGATGAAGATTCTGTTATTATATATATTACTACTACTTGGGCTGTTTCGAAAGCTATGAAGAACCAGAAAATTATAACTTGCTCTCAACTACACGACCGGTTATTATGTCTTCTCGTCCTATTTATCCATCAAATCGCATCTTCCCTCTCCAATTTTCTCCATCTCGGTAGTCAACTTGTTATTTCTCTCTCGAAGAATGAGTTGATTGGTGAGTTGGAGGAGATTGGATGGAAGGACCCAAGTTGTTCTCCCCCTGGAGATAAGTTGATGAAGAAATAAAATGACAAGCAAAAAAATTGAATATTCAATAGGGGAAATTTTAGTAGGAAGTCAATTCAAATACAAAATTTATAAGGTAATAAAAAATAATTAAGCCTAATAGTAATTTGTCATGTTTTTAGTTTATGGTAACCCCACTCTCTTTTATTCCTTGTATGCACTGTTTTGTTTTCATCCGTACTTTCATTTTCTGTCTCGGTACCCATTTGTTTTATTGTTTCCTTATTGCTTTTGCAGAAGCAAACAGAATTGACCAACTGGGTCACTCTAGGAAGTACTTTTTTTGTAGGTTAGGAAGAAAAAGAGATGTAATTTTATACTTACCCTTTGCACTTACTTTCTGTTTGAAGTAATGGGATTCAACTCTTTTGTATTATGTGCAAGCTGATGATATTAGGCAGACAGTTAAACATAAATAGTTATATATTTGGAAGGGTATGAGGAGCATATGGGAATTAATGCTCTTTAAACAACTGTTCAACCGACAGTAGTAACATGTATGGTCTGCGTAAAAGAATTAGATCGAAGGGGTATGATGTGAAAGAGATGCATGATCTGGAACTCTAGACTTTAGAAACAGGACCACACGAAGTCTGAAGGGATCATTTGGCTTTTGCAATATTTTCATTTCTGTTTTGTAACCACTCTACCAATTTCTTGGTGACCTAATTCAACGTGAATATCATCAACATCTTCATTTTCTTCAACTACGGTTCTACTTGATTGTGTACCATAGGACATAGTATGTTACCACCGCCTCACTTGGAATGTGCGCCAAGCGGGTGTTTGATTTATAGAAATTGAAAAGGTAGGTAGTTGTTTGTGGAGACTTAAGAACAGATGGAAATATGTAGGCAGTCACTCTGGGTTGGTTGGGGGGACTTGCTAGGATCTCCCAGAACCTGTCTTTCTTCTTAGAATGGTTGTAGCATTATGATGTTTATTCGCGTTGTGAAATATTAGCTTTGACTTTTATCAATAAATGATTTATTCATGTTGGTTCTACACACAGACACAGCCAACCATGTGTCGATGAATTTGGTTATGACCTTGCCATAAATTTTTGTCGGTGTTTTGTAGGTTGACATGGCCAACCTTCAGAAGAAAAAGGATGAGGAGAAGGTTAGATATTGAATTGTAACTCTATACATACATACTACATTATTGTGATCCTTTTAATACCCATTTTTTAGTAATCCTGTTGCTTGCATTCTGAACAGGCGCTAAAGGAGTTGAAAGCCAAGGCGCAACAGAAGGGAAGTTTTGGAGGTTCTGGGCTCAAGAAAAGTGGAAAGAAATAAGGTCTTTTTATAATTATTGCATGAATGTAATATTGAGCTCTGTAATTACAGTTGCTACCATAAGAACTTCTCTCTTATTGTGGCCTACTTTATTGCTAATGTTAGTACCGTATGAACTGACGTATGTCTGATGTAAGCTCCAACAAGTTACTTGTTGGTGGCTAACTTAAATGTCTTCGTGGGGTTCTGATTATTACATCCATATATTAGTGTTGTGGGTTTGAGTTATATAATAATGGCATGGCTTTCAACTTTTAATGATTTATTCTACTATACCGAATAGGCATTGGTTTCTACTGCTTGCGATTGTCCTAACCTCAGCACATAATCCTGATGAGGCTGAGTTTCAAATTGAGCATTGCTCGTAAAATTTGTTAAAATGGAAAATATATTGGAAGATATATTAAATGATGCTTATGCTTTATATATTTAATAATATGGAACTAGCTGAATAAATTGAAGAACTGTCGGCGTAATGTTATTAGAAATTGTTCTACGTATTAAATTCAACTCTTTGATTAGGTAAACCGTAAATGTGTAGTGTCCGTTTGACTATATATTTTTGTGAAATAGCCTTTGAGAGGGGAGTATATATTTTTGTGAAATAGCATTTGAGAGGGGAAAACCAGCCTTTGAACTGAGTTAGTATTATGCAGTTCACTGTTTGGTTCGATTTTTTATTAAAATGATATTCAAATCGAAAATAAAGTTTACATATAATTCCGTTTGTTTATGTGATTTTATTATTTCATTTTTGTTTGATGTGTATCTCACCTTTTTAAAAGGATGATCCAATATTATACTATGATTAATACTTTTATTTTATTCTTTATTATAATTAAAGATTTTCCTTTTTTTAATATTGTCGTCTATGATATTAAATATTAAATAATCTTTAATAAATCTAATAAACTTTTTACACACTCTTATTTTCCTTTCATATATTTAAATTAATTTTGGCTTATTCATCCTATCAATTCGGAATGTCAAACTATAAAGAACCACTCGGTTTTAAGAAAACAAAAATCAAATTGACCATTAGAATTTTAATTAACAAATTTTCAATCAGATTTCAGTTATTTTTCAATTGTTGTTGTTAAGTTACAAATACCTCACCTAGTAGGTAGAAATGGAAGAGTAAACTGAAAGATAAAAATGTCGATGATAGACAGACAGCTAAAACCAACTATTACTTTGCCACAAACAAATTTTCAAATCTCCATTCATTTCAGAACAATATTATGCTTACAACTGAATTCGCCTGCAAAAATAACCAGAGTCTGGTTTCATCTGGAAACACAAAAACACAATGCTTTCTTACCGAATATGCATTACACCAATCGCCAATTTAACCACTCAACCAATTTAATTAACTCTTTGATATTAATACTAAGCATTAACAAGATGACCTAATCACTTTTACAGGAAATAATGTAACATGTGATTATCCTCTAGGGTAGCTTAAAATCTCCTTTAAAAAAACTCCATCTTCCAATCAATGCATGATGAATAACTCAATCAAAACCAAAGTTGCTTTAAACAAAAGATCAAGTCCACCAAAATGATGGTATAGGTGCAAAAGAATGGATTAGGGAAATACTGCCTAAAAATATATCCGTTGCACAAAATTGTTGTTTCTTATTTTTGGGTGTTGAAAGCAATTGCATGACCTATATAACTCATATAAGGGCACATGCCGTCTAGAAATACTTCAAGAACGCTAAATATCTCATGCCTATAGGCATTCATGTAATACCCTACTTTAACTTCAGCAATCTGCAGTCTACTTTGACATATCAAGGATAACTGGAGAAATCATTACTAGTTGTTTATATACCAATTGGCTTCTCTGGTTTTTCTGGCTTTTCTGGCTTTTCTGGCTCCTCCTTTTCAGGCTCTTCCTCTTCCTCTTTCTTTTCTTCCTCATCTTCATCCTCTTCTGGAGGATCTGCAGGCATTGGAGGCGGCAAAGGTGTCTTCATAGGACTAAACTGAGGGAATATATCAGGTCTTCGTCCAGGCTTAGGCCTTTCCCACTCCTGTCAGCATATCACATACATAAAAAAAACTACCACCTTATGCATCAAACGCCCAAAATTTGAGAAAAAAAAAGGCTGCAAAATCCTATAAAACCTATCATTACTCAAATCTGAATTTACTCTCAAAAAGGCACCACACAAACTCCAGAAAGAGGAGTGTATCAACTGTTCACTACCTAGAGAAAGTCCTTAATGCCTTCTGTACACCTTCATTCGAAGAGACGTGTAAAGGCGGTGCTTACTCTTAAACATCATATACAGCATTTACCTAAGGTATGCATCAAAAAACAGTGGCGCTTACCAAATTAGACCTAACTCACCAACAAATAAAAGATTACCATCTCTTAAATACACAACATACAAACTTAATCATATATGACATCATCTTACAAAACAATGTCAACCATTAGTTTCTCAATCGGCGGTATGATTTGGCACCTTGAAAATTTTCGAGAAACTAACATTGCATCTAACCGGAACCAAGATTAATTGACTAGGAGATGCAATTAAAAGTATATAATTTCTCATCCAAGGAAGAATTGAAGCAATACAGATTTCAGAGTACATGAATTGAAAGTTTATACTATTAAAGCAAGATACACTTCCCTAATCCGAGTTCGCATCCGAAAACAGATTTAAATTGACATGATTAGAAAAAACATACGATTGGGAAATCGAGAGGTGAACGGCGAGTCATCTTTTCCTCCTCTGGAGCCATACGTACGAGGTGCCTCCGAAAGCGTGGAAGTGGAGTGAGAGAGCGAAAGCCAACGATGAAAGGTGATGCAAAGTTAGAAGAAGAAGAAGGTTTAGGAGAAGAAAACGAAGAAGACGAAGCTGAAGAAGAAGAAGAAGGCGGTGTGAGAAGCGTGTTGAGGCTGACCAGAGCCATGGCCATGTCTGCGGCTGCGCAACACCTAATCCAAATCTCCCTTCTCTCTCTTTTTCTCTGCCTCCTATTTCCTCTTTTCAACAACGTTAAGTCGGTTTTTGTGGCTCAACCTATTTTACATTTTCTCTATTTTCCCTGAATTTCTATTCAATAAAAAGCAAAAAATTAAATATAATTTATTATAATTCTACCAACAATTATTTTACTTTTTTCTTAACTTTTTATATTAATTTATTTCTTTCTACTTACACAAAATGGACCACTCAATTTTTTTTGGGAGACTAATGTTTCTCTTTTGTTTTCTTTAGATCAACGGAGGGATGAAAACAGATTTCTTTAGATCAACGGATGAAAATATAGGAGATTGGTGAAAAATGTAAACAAAATGGTCTGGTGAGAAGTGACAGGAAGGTAAAGGCGTCGCCTAGCTTTGGGTTAAGAAAAGATAAATTATATTAAAATTTTGTTATTCTTTAAATTCATGTATATTTATGAAATATTGTCAAAAAAAGAAATTTAAATATTATTTTAATTTTATAAAGTAATTACTTTATTTTTAAGTATTTTTAAATTTAAATTAATCAGTTTTAATAAAATAAAAATAAAGGCATTTTTATTAGTTATTGTATCATCTAATTTATTTAACTTTTTTTTATTATACAAGTTAAATTTACGAAGTTCACTTTCCTTAAATTTAAACCACTTTATTTTTTATCATTTTTCTTTGTTTTTTCATCTCTATCTTGATTTAAATACAAGATAAAGTAATATGTAGTGTTGTATAGCTAATGCAGTTCTTGATTAAAATTAATATAATTCAGTTCAAAATTATTATAGTTAATAGTTCAGTTCAGTTTATATTGTAGGTTAGTACAATGTAGTATAGTGCAATTCGGTATAGTTTGATAAAACAAAAAATAATTTAGTTTTTTTGAACTATTTTGTAGTGCAGTTTAGTTTAGACAAACTAATTTTTAATTCAATACAGTTTTTAATAATATAATGGAGTTTGATTTGTCCATCCCTAAATACTATATTTGATACAAAATAGTTAAGGATGTAGTTATTTTGAAACAAAATATCTAATCTTATTTTGAAAGCTCGTTGATTGAAATTATATATAATGGGTTTGAATGATGAAGATTGAATTTGAAATAAGTGAAAAATGATATTTGATGAAAAGTCATATTACTCATATTTTTATATCCGACAATATTCAAAATATTGTTGATAGAGAGCTGAATGAACGTTTGACAGGTTCCAACTAGTGCTGATTTTTCTTTTTCAGTTTTCCAAATAAATATTTACAAGGTTTGGATTCTCACTTTCATCCACTTCTATTTTGAAATATTTTTCTTCAAACAAAATAGTTAAACTTTAACATAAAAGGAAGTATATTAAAATGAACAATTTCTGAAAGTACAATAATAATCATAACAATATTGCCAAAATATATTTAAGTCGGAATTTGGTGTTACACGTGTAACTTTTTGCGTTGAAAATTTTGATTGCACATAACATGATCGTAATGAAATCTATCAAGATTGTGCTTTCAAATTTTCAGAGAAGGCTGCGTTCACGGAACATCCACTACATCCTATAAATTGCACGCGAGATTAATGCACGATAAGAGATAATCCCATATTTACATCCATTTAACATAAATTATCAAAAAAAAGTTATAAAAAAATAATTTTTTACATATATTAAAAATAAAATAATATTAAATGAATATAAAAAATATATGTGCTTGTATATTTTTCTCTGTAAATAACTTGAAACACCCAAAAACGAAAAGGTAGACTACAAAGTTGTCCATGTAAGAAACCTTGCCTTATCTTTTTCTCTAAATTTAAAAAGAATATTAAAAAGCTGATTTTAGGTTTACCATAACTAACCAAACCAATATATAAATCATGCGTATGATACTCGGATTAATACTAATACACTTTGGATGTGCTGCATTTGCATCAAGTTAGATCATACCATTATTTGGCAGTGATAATCTTGCAGACTTTTACCTGATAAAGACAAAGATTTCTGCAACCCAATTGTATTGTTCCAACTTCCAAGGCACAAAGATTATTACTTCAAGAGATCACGCGAAGTATCAGCAGTTAAAAGATTAAATTCTCTTCTCCTTCAACTAAATTTCCTCAGTCATTTTCTTTTTCATTTGGGGCACCGATAAATAACCATTCCATTTTTCCACGTAATGGTAACGTGCATAGATTGATTGGTGGAACACTTTTCTTGCACTACAAAAATAGGAAACAAAGTTGTCACCGGTGGCTTTTTGTTTTGGTCTATGCTCAAAAGGTGAGGTCGAAGTTCTCTGTTACTTTTCCATCTCACAACAATGGGAAGGTGAAAAAGTTCCCATCATAAACTTCTTGATTACTTATTTCAGGTTCGCCAAACCAAAGAAAAACTGGAGTTTTAGGCATAATTCAATAGCAAAGCACAAAACCAGAACAGCTTAGTGTTATTTATTGTTCTTCCATTTGAAAGTGTCAGTGTAGTCGTGTTTTGTCAAATCTCATGGTGAGGGTGGTTTGAGGAATGATGGATTTCTGGCCAGAATTTCTTGCAAGCAGTTCTGGAAGAGAGTTTGTAGCTGGTGGTTTTGGAGGCATCGCGGGTATAATTGCAGGTTATCCACTTGACACACTCCGCATCAGATTGCAGAACACAAAAAATGGCTCTGCTTTCACCATCTTTAAGCACATGGTGATAAGGGAAGGAACAACTTCTTTGTACCGCGGCATGGCCGCACCATTAGCCTCTGTTACTTTTCAGGTTATTTTGGTCTCATTCATCAACTTTCTTTGTGTTTCTGCATAAAATCTCATTCAGATGCTCATACGATATACCCTCATAAATTGCAGTGGAATTGATGTGATTTTCAATCGCATCTTACCTCAAGATCCCATTTTTTTTTACAGTTTTGGTACGCCATAGGATTCCAACTTCTCTTTTTCGATCAAAGAAATAGGACAAAAACCTATGACTTACAACTCTGGTCAGGGGAATATACTATAATACCACCTGATGCTTTTTTGTTTTATTGTTTTGTTTTTAAGGAATATAAAGATTCACGAGCCCGCAATTAATGCCCTTTTGAGAGTCACTTTCCCACGGCTTTTGATCTTATAATAATTATAATAACAATCTGCTTTCTGAGATAGAATCTTACCTGAATCATTTTCTTTTTGCTTTTGAATTGTTCAAGAACCATTATTAGGATAAGGACTTCAGGTTTTTGACGTGTGACTGGGAATGTTTATCCAACTGGGTCAATATTGAATTAAATTTTCGGCTTCGGATTGGCCCATAGGGAAGTGATCTTCCTAGGTAGGAGATGAAGGTGACTTCTGCTCCAATGCCTCAATTTTGAGTCACTGATTTTCAAGACAGTGAACCATTTAGAGGACAATCTAGAGTTTTACTATTTTGTGACATAAAGATTCAGCAATGATTTTCCATTTTCCATGATGTCAAATCATGACAACACTTGAGAACAGTAGTTTTGCTTTGTGGGAGGCATTGAGCCATAGCTTGAAACTTTTAAGGAATGAATGACTTTTACACTGTTTATCATTGTTTCCTTTATCTGTCTAGTATCAAACCTAAGTGCATCTGAATTTGACAGTCTCAAATTGATTATTATTCGTTTTATGGTGGCAGAATGCAATGGTTTTCCAAACGTACGCGGTTCTGTCAAGGGCATGTGACCCATCTGTTTCTCCGAAAGACCCTGCTTCCTATAAGGGTGTTGCATTAGGAGGAACAGGTACCGGAGCACTTCAAAGTCTGTTACTTTCCCCTGTAGAGTTGATCAAAATTCAACTTCAACTGCAGAAAGAAAGCCAGATGACAGAATCCATAAAGGGTCCTATAAAGCTGGCTAAAAACATTTGGAGGAAAGAAGGCCTTCGAGGCATTTATCGAGGACTTGGTGTGACTGTGATGAGGGATGGACCCTCTCATGGTTTATACTTCTGGACATATGAATACATGAGGGAACGACTTCACCCTGGTTGCAGAAAAAGTGGTGAAGAAAGTTTGAAGACTATGTTAGTAGCGGGAGGAACAGCAGGGGTGGCTAGCTGGATCAGTTGCTACCCTTTGGATGTTGTAAAGAGTAGATTACAGGCTCAAACATCCTCTTCTCTCAAGTACAATGGCATCGTAGATTGTTTCAGAAAGAGTGTTCACCAAGAAGGATACAGTGTGCTATGGCGGGGTTTAGGAACTGCAGTTACCAGAGCTTTCATAGTAAATGGGGCCATTTTCTCGGCTTATGAGATTGCACTAAGATTACTGTTTCACAACGCAATTCATACGAAAGAAACTATTTAGAAGAAACCACAATAACACCATGCGATATTCAACAACCATTACAAGATGCAATTCACAGATATTCTATTTGTAATATTATTCATCACATGTTAAAACTTTGTCTCAAAAAAAGAGAAAATGATAGCGTAACATACTTTTATATTCTTTTAATATAAAATACAAAGATAAAATCATCATAAAAATATAAACTTTTATATTTAAAAAAAAATAGTATGAATTGTAAAAAATCTAGATATATCATTTTTTATGTTATAATTGAATNTCTTTCTACTTACACAAAATGGACCACTCAATTTTTTTTGGGAAACTAGTGTTTCTCTTTTGTTTTCTTTAGATCAACGGAGGGATGAAAACAGATTTCTTTAGATCAACGGATGAAAATATAGGAGATATGTAAACAAAATGGTCTGGTGAGAAGTGACAGGAGGATAAAGGCGTCCCCTAGCTTTGGGTTAAGAAAAGATAAATTATATTAAAATTTTATTATTCTTTAAATTCATGTATATTTATGAAATATTGTCAAAAAAAGAAATTTAAATATTATTTTAATTTTATAAAGTAATTACTTTATTTTTAAGTATTTTTAAATTTAAATTAATCAGTTTTAATAAAATAAAAATGAAGGCATTTTTATTAGTTATTGTATCATCTAATTTATTTAATTTTTTTTATTATACAAGTTAAATTTAGGTTTAATAGGTTCAGAGGTCCTTATATTTGTGGGTTCGTTTCAATTGGGTCCTCCAATTTTGAAAGTGATCAATTTGGTCCCTAATTTAACAAAATTGAGTCAATAATACTCTTTCCGTTAAATGTAATGGACGGCGTTAACTTTTTAAACATGTAGCATGTTGAGACATCCTTTTATTTGCAGGTTGCACAGTTTTAAACCACTTTATTTTTTACCGTTTTTCTTTGTTTTTTCATCTTTATCTTGATTTAAATACAAGATAAAGTAGTTTGTAGTGTTATATAGTTAATGTACTTCTTGGTTAAAATTAGTATAATTTAATTCAAAATTAGTATAGTTAATAGTTCAGTTCAATTTATATTATAGGTTAATATAATGTAGTATAGTACAATTCAATACAGTTTGATAAAATAAAAAATAATTCAGTTTTTCTGAACTATTTTGTAGTGCAGTTCAATTTAGATAAACTAATTTTTAATTCAATACAGTTTTTAATAATATAATGCAGTTTGATTTGTCCATCACTAAATACTATATTTGAGACAAAATAGTTAAGGTTGTAGTTATTTTGAAACAAAATATCTAATCTTATTTTAAAAGCTCGTTGATTGAAATTATATATAATGGGTTTGAATGATGAAGATTGAATTTGAAATAAGTGAAAAATGATATTTGATGAAAAGTCATATTACTCATACTTTTATATCCGAAAATATTCAAAATATTGTTGATAGAAATCATATTTTACCAGACAAACCAGAATAGAGCTGAATGGACGTTTGCCAGGTTCCAACTAGTGCTGATTTTTCTTTTTCAGTTCATTTATGGATAATGATCCAAACTATTATCCTTTCCAAATAAATATTTACAAGGTTTGGATTCTCACTTTCATCCACTTCTATTTTGAAATATTTTTCTTCAAACAAAATAGTTAAACTTTAACATAAAAGGAAGTATATTAAAATGAACAATTTCTGAAAATACAATAATAATCATAACAATATTACCTAAATATATTTAAGTCGGAATTTGGTGTTACACGTGTAACTTTTTGCGTTGTAAATTTTGATTGCACATAACATGATTAAATGCATAGTTCATTGTAGATAGTTAGTTTTACTTTTTTTGTGTGCTCATAATGAAATCTATCAAGATTGTGCTTTCAAATTTTCAGAGAAGGATGCGTTCACGGAACATCCACTACATCCTATAAGTTGCACGCGAGATTAATGGACGATACGAGATAATGCCATATTTACATCCATTTAACATAAATTATCAAAAAAAAAGTTATAAAAAAATAATTTTTTACATATATTAAAAATAAAATAATATTAAATGAATATAAAAAATATATGTGCTTATATATTTTTCTCTGTAAATAACTTGAAACACCCAAAAACGAAAAGGTAGACTACAAAGTTGTCCATGTAAGAAACCTTGCCTTATCTTTTTCTCTAAATTTAAAAAGAATATTAAAAAGCTGATTTTAGGTTTACCATAACTAACCAAACCAATATATAAATCATGCGTATGATACTCGGATTAATACTAATACACTTTGGATGTGCTGCATTTGCATCAAGTTAGATCATACCATTATTTGGCAGTGATAATCTTGCAGACTTTTACCTGATAAAGACAAAGATTTCTGCAACCCAATTGTATTGTTCCAACTTCCAAGGCACAAAGATTATTACTTCAAGAGATCACGCGAAGTATCAGCAGTTAAAAGATTAAATTCTCTTCTCCTTCAACTAAATTTCCTCAGTCATTTTCTTTTTCATTTGGGGCACCGATAAATAACCATTCCATTTTTCCACGTAATGGTAACGTGCATAGATTGATTGGTGGAACACTTTTCTTGCACTACAAAAATAGGAAACAAAGTTGTCACCAGTGGCTTTTTGTTTTGGTCTATGCTCAAAAGGTGAGGTCGAAGTTCTCTGTTACTTTTCCATCTCACAACAATGGGAAGGTGAAAAAGTTCCCATCATAAACTTCTAGATTACTTATTTCAGGTTCGCCAAACCAAAGAAAAACTGGAGTTTTAGGCATAATTCAATAGCAAAGCACAAAACCAGAACAGCTTAGTGTTATTTATTGTTCTTCCATTTGAAAGTGTCAGTGTAGTCGTGTTTTGTCAAATCTCATGGTGAGGGTGGTTTGAGGAATGATGGATTTCTGGCCAGAATTTCTTGCAAGCAGTTCTGGAAGAGAGTTTGTAGCTGGTGGTTTTGGAGGCATCGCGGGTATAATTGCAGGTTATCCACTTGACACACTCCGCATCAGATTGCAGAACACAAAAAATGGCTCTGCTTTCACCATCTTTAAGCACATGGTGATAAGGGAAGGAACAACTTCTTTGTACCGCGGCATGGCCGCACCATTAGCCTCTGTTACTTTTCAGGTTATTTTGGTCTCATTCATCAACTTTCTTTGTGTTTCTGCATAAAATCTCATTCAGATGCTCATACGATATACCCTCATAAATTGCAGTGGAATTGATGTGATTTTCAATCGCATCTTACCTCAAGATCCCATTTTTTTTTACAGTTTTGGTACGCCATAGGATTCCAACTTCTCTTTTTCGATCAAAGAAATAGGACAAAAACCTATGACTTACAACTCTGGTCAGGGGAATATACTATAATACCACCTGATGCTTTTTTGTTTTATTGTTTTGTTTTTAAGGAATATAAAGATTCACGAGCCCGCAATTAATGCCCTTTTGAGAGTCACTTTCCCACGGCTTTTGATCTTATAATAATTATAATAACAATCTGCTTTCTGAGATAGAATCTTACCTGAATCATTTTCTTTTTGCTTTTGAATTGTTCAAGAACCATTATTAGGATAAGGACTTCAGGTTTTTGACGTGTGACTGGGAATGTTTATCCAACTGGGTCAATATTGAATTAAATTTTCGGCTTCGGATTGGCCCATAGGGAAGTGATCTTCCTAGGTAGGAGATGAAGGTGACTTCTGCTCCAATGCCTCAATTTTGAGTCACTGATTTTCAAGACAGTGAACCATTTAGAGGACAATCTAGAGTTTTACTATTTTGTGACATAAAGATTCAGCAATGATTTTCCATTTTCCATGATGTCAAATCATGACAACACTTGAGAACAGTAGTTTTGCTTTGTGGGAGGCATTGAGCCATAGCTTGAAACTTTTAAGGAATGAATGACTTTTACACTGTTTATCATTGTTTCCTTTATCTGTCTAGTATCAAACCTAAGTGCATCTGAATTTGACAGTCTCAAATTGATTATTATTCGTTTTATGGTGGCAGAATGCAATGGTTTTCCAAACGTACGCGGTTCTGTCAAGGGCATGTGACCCATCTGTTTCTCCGAAAGACCCTGCTTCCTATAAGGGTGTTGCATTAGGAGGAACAGGTACCGGAGCACTTCAAAGTCTGTTACTTTCCCCTGTAGAGTTGATCAAAATTCAACTTCAACTGCAGAAAGAAAGCCAGATGACAGAATCCATAAAGGGTCCTATAAAGCTGGCTAAAAACATTTGGAGGAAAGAAGGCCTTCGAGGCATTTATCGAGGACTTGGTGTGACTGTGATGAGGGATGGACCCTCTCATGGTTTATACTTCTGGACATATGAATACATGAGGGAACGACTTCACCCTGGTTGCAGAAAAAGTGGTGAAGAAAGTTTGAAGACTATGTTAGTAGCGGGAGGAACAGCAGGGGTGGCTAGCTGGATCAGTTGCTACCCTTTGGATGTTGTAAAGAGTAGATTACAGGCTCAAACATCCTCTTCTCTCAAGTACAATGGCATCGTAGATTGTTTCAGAAAGAGTGTTCACCAAGAAGGATACAGTGTGCTATGGCGGGGTTTAGGAACTGCAGTTACCAGAGCTTTCATAGTAAATGGGGCCATTTTCTCGGCTTATGAGATTGCACTAAGATTACTGTTTCACAACGCAATTCATACGAAAGAAACTATTTAGAAGAAACCACAATAACACCATGCGATATTCAACAACCATTACAAGATGCAATTCACAGATATTCTATTTGTAATATTATTCATCACATGTTAAAACTTTGTCTCAAAAAAAGAGAAAATGATAGCGTAACATACTTTTATATTCTTTTAATATAAAATACAAAGATAAAATCATCATAAAAATATAAACTTTTATATTTAAAAAAAAATAGTATGAATTGTAAAAAATCTAGATATATCATTTTTTATGTTATAATTGAATACACATCAGTTAGCGATTCAATAGAAGGAAGTGTTCATCATTGCTATTAGTCAATTCAATTAAGAAAAATGATACATACGATTTTTTTACTTTTATTTGATATTTTTAATTTTTTGTTCTCCTTTGTTAACAAAATACAAAAATTTATTTTTTTAAAATTATTTTATTCTTATAATGCGAGTCATATAAATATAAATGCATTTCATCTTAAATTACTCTTCAACTAATTACTTGGGGATTTTATACTGGATAGACCCACTACATTTATGAAATTAATTTGGTCGTTATTATTATTATTAGGTAATTACTTTTTGCACACGTATTATTATTTTCACTTTGAAAGAGGGTTGGAAAAGTAAAATATGTCTATATATATATATATATATTTTAAAATATCTTAATTGCGTTCTACTATGTAATTCAGAAAAATGATTTTCTAATTTAAGAATATATTTTAAATTATACAATAATTAAAAATAGATGCATAAATCAAAGAAGTACATTTTTGGTACACCAAACCCAAACCCACCACCACATTAACCTCTCAAATAAAAGAGGCAGACAGCCACCCAAACAGGCGGAGAGAAAGCCCAGAAACGTGGTCTTTTAACGCAGTCCATTATGATCCAAATACAACCCCTTTTTCACACATGACCAAAAAAAAAAAGACACGTGGCAGGATCGAGAAAGCCCCGAAAGGTGGCAGCATTTTTGAATGCGAAGGAGCCAAGCGCGCAACGATAAAGAAAGAGAAAAGCCTCGGCGGGGCCCACCCACGTGCGAGACGGTGGCCGATGATAGGACAACTTAAAGAAAAAGAAAAGAACACTCTCCACGGACCCAGCTATACGTCGTCGTTTCAACGTTCCACACGTGCCTCACCTTCGTCTTCAGGATTCAATTCAAAAATATTCAAAGGCTGTTTAGTTTGTTCTCCACTCACGGCATTGGGTCCTATTTACCTTATATATCATTCTTGGGTTCCACTCTACACTACGCTCCTCGTCCAAGTTTCTCATCTAATCAAAACATGAACAGACAGGGCCAGAGATCCGGTGCGACGGGGGTGCACCATAACCGCCAGCACTCCGAGCACTATCTCGATGCTTCTTCCAAGTGGTTCAACTCCTCCTCCAATCACATTCCTCCTCTTCAGGTTTTTCACTGTTCCTGTTTCCATTTTTTCGTGTTTTTTACTCTAACGTTCAACCACTTCACTCCAAATTTAATATTCCTAATGATGAATGATTGAACGCATTTATTGTTCGCAACAACCACTAGTCCTCTTTGCAGTCGAAGCTGATTTCTGAATTGCGATCCGTTTTGGCTTGCAGGACTACAATCTGTACGGTGGCGGAGGCAGAATGTACCGGAACAGCGTGCAGAAGAACTTCAGTGAGTATTCTATGGATCCGTTAACGCCTCCTCGTAGTTATGCCGTTAAGAAAAACGGTGACGAGGACGATTCTCCTCGCGATTTCAGCCCTGGCCTCTTGGATATCCATTCCTTCGATACAGAGCTTCTTCCTCAGGTTTATTCATTTTCGTTTCGTTTTAATTACCGTTGAATGTTTTTGTTCGGTTTTGTTTGAATCATTTGCTCGTGATTTGGTAGATTCCGTCCTCGAACGCGTATGATTCCGAGCCTTACATTTTCAGCAAACAAACTAGCAGAACTCGTGCTATTGATAACAACGTCTACAATAGTCTTGCCGCCGCAGAGAATCTGAAGTCTAGCAATGTAGCTAAGATTAAAGTCGTGGTATGTTATTGTTTTGCGTATCTCAATATTCAATGAGAAATTTTACCAGTGCAATAAATTGCACAACACATTTCACAACTAACAGTTGAAAAGAAAGTGGTATGGGATATAATAGACAATGCAATAAAGAGAGATAGAGACATAAAATGTTGACTGTTTGCTATTGAGTTTGGAGGCTCTTGCTTGAAAACTGCATTTGTCGTGGTATTTGAAAATGGACATTGGAATTTGTCTTTGCTTGAATTTTGGTTTTGTTCTGAGTTGGTAACTTGCTACTCTATGCAGGTTCGCAAGAGACCGCTAAATAAGAAGGAGACAGCTAAGCATGAGGAGGATATTATAGACACAGTTTCAAATTCTTTAACCGTGCACGAGACCAAACTTAAGGTGAGTGTAGTAGGCAATAGAATTCCGTGATATTGAAAAATTGCATATTTTAATTGTCTTTTATGTTGAAATATATTTGATTAAGCTGTTTTGAATGATTTGTGAGAACGATGAAATAGAGAACGAAGTTGCCTATTAAGTATTTCGTTGATATTTCAAAACCTTTATCTTGGTGAACTTGGAATGCTTGGTATGAATATGGTGTACTTAGAAAGACAAACAATGCTGTTAAGTGCACATTCCGCAGACTGTAATTGTCAGTGTTTATTCATAGAAAATTGTTCAAGCTTTATCTATCTGTTTATTTTTTCACAAACTTGTGCATATGGTTAGTTTTTGGCTGTATATTATAGTTAATGTTTTCATTTGAACATTTTAAAATTTAAATGCTTTACAGGTTGATTTAACTCAGTATGTTGAGAAGCATGAGTTTGTTTTTGATGCTGTTTTGAATGAAGAGGTTACAAATGACGAGGTAACTAGCTAATGCAGTTAAGTTTTAGTTGAAAGAATAAATGGACAAATACATAGCCCACTTATTTAACTTTATTTTTAACCTTTGGATCTGGTTAGGTGTATCGTGAAACAGTGGAGCCCATAGTTCCAATAATATTTCAACGCACTAAGGCAACTTGCTTTGCGTATGGTCAAACAGGTGACAGCAACCTCTCAAATTTGATTAATTATGTCTGTTCCAATTTACCAAGAGAGTTTAAATCTCCTTTTATTGACTTCTTTTTCTCTTACGACTGTAGATGGTCATCTCTTTGAATAGTTAATAATTTGTAGTTTAAAGTAATAAGTAATCTGATAGATATTCTCAAATGGTTACGTTATGTCTACACTTTTATATCGAACAGAAATTTTGATACTTAATGGTAATTCACTCGTGGGTGTTAATTTAAGCAGAACTGACTTTGTTTGCTCGCACTATTACTGTCATTTTATATTAGTATATCATTTGTTAACTTCAACACATAATTCTCTTCTTGTGTAGGAAGTGGAAAAACTTACACAATGAAGCCACTACCTCTTAAAGCATCAAGGGACATCTTGAGATTGATGCATCATACGTACAGGAGTCAGGGATTTCAGTTGTTTGTGAGTTTCTTTGAAATATATGGTGGGAAGCTTTTTGATCTCCTTAATGACCGAAAGTGAGTTGATTGATCTTTCTTTTATGCACCCATGGTCTCTATATTCTTTAGGTGTAATAATTGTTAGAATTATAGGTTGAGTTCAATAGGGGGTGCCTTTATCTTTTCACAGGTCTCAGAAACTTTTTGCAAATTAATGAATAGCAGTCTCTGAATCAATCAATTCTTGATAAAAGCTCAAATTAAACCTTTGGAAACCAAAGCATACGATATCAAATCAATGTAATTAAAATTTGTATGAGATAAGGGTAAGAGAAAAACACAAGATGGTTCACTCTCTCAAGAGAGTTACGTCCAGTTGTTTAGTCACTCTTAATAGGTCTATCCACTAAATTTTCAAGTTTTACTAGAACCCCAAAGAAAAAGAAAATATACTGCACAGCCCATGATCAATTTAAAATATTATAGAATAAGATCACTTGGAAAGGTTTGAGCTTAAGCCAAGAAGAAAAGAAATAACGGTCATCTTCAATGTAAGATGATCAATCTATGATCTTAATCCAATGATTCTTGATGAATTGCTCCAAGAAAGTGTTTTCCAGAATGCAAAAGTTCTTGCATAAAGTGTTTCTCAAAATTTCAAATGTTCTTGATGATTAGATTGAATTATATGGTATTTCAGAAGATTAAGAACTACAGTTTTGTAGATTCGGAAGTTTTATTTGCTAAAACTAAGCCAAATGAAGTTGCACTATTTTTTTTATCAGCCAAACCTGCTTTTAGTCCGCTAAAATCACTTAAAAGTGACATTTTAAGTGATTTTATTCAATTAAAAATTTGTTTTAATCGGTTAAAATAGACCAACTTCATTCATTGAATTGCTTAAGTGATTATAGTCTTTTTAATCAATTAAGAACTAAAGATTTTAATAAAGGCTCTTAATACTCCTAACTTTAACTAAGATCAAGGAAGAAAACTTACAACCTTAAGAACACAAAATTTACAACTCTAACAATTTCAACTCCAAGATCAACTCTTCATCACTACAATCATCAAATCCAAGTTGTTGGGAGCATCAAATCAAATAATTTCAAGCTTTGCACGGATCTTCAATCTCAATAATATTGTTCTTCTGCAGAAAACTGTGCATGAGGGAGGATGGCAAGCAACAAGTTTGCATTGTTGGTTTGCAAGAGTACCAAGTATCGGATGTAGAGACCATCAAGGAACTGATTGAGCAAGGAAATGCCACAAGAAGTACTGGCACCACAGGTGCAAACGAGGAGTCCTCACGGTCACATGCAATTCTTCAGCTTGCTATCAAGAGATCAGTTGATGGAAATGTATCCAAGCCTCCCCGAGTTGTTGGGAAGCTTTCCTTCATAGATCTTGCTGGAAGTGAACGTGGAGCAGATACCACAGATAATGACAAACAGACAAGGTATGTCTCACGGAGTGGCTAAAGTGATATTGTTGAAGACATAATTATATTAATGATATCTTAGATTTTCTTTTCTTAGCCTTCTTAATGAATTTGTCTGTTTGGTCGGGTGTTCCAAATTATGTGGAATGCAGAATAGAAGGTGCTGAGATCAATAAGAGCTTGCTCGCCTTAAAGGAATGCATAAGAGCTCTAGATAATGACCAAGGACACATCCCATTCAGAGGCAGCAAATTGACTGAAGTTCTGAGGGATTCATTTGTTGGTGATTCCCGCACTGTTATGATATCTTGCATATCACCAAGTTCCGGTTCATGTGAACATACTCTGAATACATTAAGATATGCTGACAGGTAACAATGACATTTCAACCAAACAAACGATAATTTTCTGTCGTTGATTTTCCACCTCCCTGCAAACCATTCATTAATTAGGCAACCACTGTTGTGTACCAAATGAAAGCTTTTTGATTTGACTGTTTCATAATATATGAAAATTCAGGGTAAAAAGCTTATCCAAAGGGAACAATTCTAAGAAGGACGTTTTATCTTCAAATTTCAACCTTAAAGATTCAATTACTATTCCCTTGTCTTCTGTTAATACATATGCTTATGAGGATCGCACAACTGATACATGGCCTGAAGAAAAAGACGGGGATGAATTTAGTCCTCCTGAAGATTACTATGAACAGGTGAAACCATCTTGGAAGAAAAATGGAAAGATAGAGCCATATGGTGTAACAGATGACAAATTTAAGAAACCCCCCAATGGCCAGATTAAATGGAAGGACATCCCAAAAGTTGAACCTAAAACAGTACAGCCTGATGATGATTTGAATGCCCTCTTACAGGTAAAGTATACTAATCTGAAAATGACTTTTCATACTTACAAAACCTATAGTAAATGCATATATCATAATTTCAGGAAGAAGAAGACCTTGTAAATGCTCACCGGAAACAAGTAGAGGAAACCATGAATATTGTTAGAGAGGTAATTAAATTGACTCTGTTTTTCCTTTCGACATGTTATTGTTTTTATAAATTTTATGCGCATTACGCAACCGTGCCATTTTTAAAATCTTCGAAACTTGTGAGTTGTGGCTATCAGTGTAGGTTGTAGCTTCATACAAATTGGTCGGTCATTGAAAAACATGGTTTCTCATCAAATTGCTTTTAATCTTTTTTTGTATAACCATCCTCCTAATCTAGTGTTGAAACTTTTAACTTATTTTTAAGTTTAAATAATGGGGGTAACAAAGACTAGATCGCCTATTAATAAAGGCTCACATAGGTGATGCCATTAGTCAATTCTACAGAAGTTTAAGATGGCGAAAACATGAATAACACACACAATTAAAATGGGTTTTTATATTTAACAGCATTTGTAATTGGGCACTAAATTTCGGTATGTTGAAATATCTTCTTGCATGCTGCCCATGGTTTCAGTATTATTTATCCTACTAAAAATGAATAGTTGCTTGGACATCCTTCCAGTGCGTAGGGATGTCCGTAGTAGTTATTAATATATGCTTTACATTTGCAGGAAATGAACCTCTTGGTTGAAGCAGACAAACCAGGTAATCAGCTGGATGATTATATAGCAAAACTAAATGCCATTCTGTCTCAGAAGGCAGCTGGCATCATGCAGTTACAAACCCGTTTAACTCATTTCCAGAAACGTTTAAAGGAGCATAGCGTTCTGGCTTCTTCTGCTGGTTACTAATTTAAATCAGACTCCTGGGGTTAAGTGGATGGGGATCGAGTTATTCGTAGTGATGGGGAAAAGTTTGGAATAGCATATCGTGAAAAGGATTTTTTTTTTTTTTTTTACTTTTTTAAACCATAAATTGTTTGGAAGTTTTCATGAGGGAGTGGTGCATTCATCTCCCTTGTTTGGAAGTTAAGATTATAAATAATTGATATAAATTACAAATTTAAATCCAACACTACCCTTGTATTTTTCATTACTTTGTTACTTAACTTTCTTTCTCGAGAAAATATTTCTTGACAACATTGCCATCTAACCACTAATTGACATATATGGTAATTTTATTAATTTTTGTAAAAAACATTACAGTCGTTTTCTTAAGAAAAGATATATGTAGAATTCCAATAGTATAAAACTTTTTACACTAATCATCATGAATATTCAACCGTTCTATTTTAAAATTTTAAAATTTACAATACTAAGTTTTTTTTTTCCTTGAAAGACAACAATTTTTTCGTATGAAATAGAAAAACATTAAAATATTTAATTAATATTAGAAGGTGCTAATATTGTCTGGAAAAGGTTCTTCTTGCATGCCATGGAAGTTCCCGCACTGCACCTACTCATTAGCCAGTTGAAGGTGAATAATATGGTGGACAAGGGGATAATATGGTTCATGGTGAACCAACCTGGTACACTCTTACATTCATCATATTTGTACTCCTTAATTGAACTAAAACTTGTTGAATTGAGAAATATACTTTGAACTAGATAGTCCATAAGGTACATTAGTTCATGTACTTCAGTTAAATTAATTAAAATATTTATACAATTCAATTACAGTAATTGTTTGCTACGAGTTTACAACAATTTAGTTTAATTTATGCATTATGGCCGCACCCTCGTCTGCATTAAATCTTTTTGGCCCTTCTCTTTCTTCCTCTTCTTATTCTTTCCTCTGTTCCAACTTTCTTCGCCCGAGGTCCCAGAGGTTTTTCTGGGCGTGAAGCCTCATCGGCGCAATCATGTCTCACCGGCGGACCCTTCCGAACACCCTAAGCCAGGTTGGCGGCAGTTTAAACATCGTCGCTGAAATGGATTCTGGGTGGCAAAATAAAGAGAAAAGAACTTGTTGGTAGCGACTCACAGAATCAGAACTAAAAAGTGAAAATATTTCCAAGTTAATACTTTTGGATCATGAAGAAAGGAACTGTGCGCCGCCGCTGTAGAATCTCGTCGGGAGTCTGAGTCACGGTCCGCTTCAACCATAGGTGGTGAATGGAGACAAGTGATTGCGGTCATGCTACGATGTGATTGTGAAGAAATTGGGTAAATAGATTTAATCTTATATTTTTATTTGAATCTGGTCTTCTAAATTTAGTAATTTTTACGATATTGTTATTAAATTAAGTTAGATCGTTTATTACCCTAATTTGATCATTTGTTAGTTCACTACACTTACATGATCATCTTAATAATAAATTGTAAGTGTATACATGTACCCCCATAACCAAATATCAACGTCACTCACTAGGAACAAATTCTTGTTTGGATACAACACAAAAAAAAAGTCTGGTTGGGAAAGGGTATCATCAATACCATACAATCGACTACCATCACACCTTCAGGGCATTGGTAAAGCCACAGACAATGAAATTGCTGCTTTATCTTGCTCTATCCAAGGGCTACTAGTTCATCACTAAAATGAATGTCAAATGTCAATAATTTATTTCTCCAGGATCCCATGCCCATGTTCATCTACATGGTCTCAAACAAGCACCAAGGTGTTTAGAAGCTGTTATACCGTGTTAGGAGAGGGAAAAGAAAGAAGAGACACAGATGTTAAATCTTTGTATTGAAATGACACCATGGAGTTTGATTTATACAAGTTCATTGTAAAAAATACATGTACACAGAAGAAAATTTTCTCCTCTGAATCAGATAACAATTGGCTATAAATCAGATATATATTAATATAGAATATATTAATACAATTTCCAACAGTATACCTTACATTGACATTGCCCATTGTATGTCTGCAATGGCTGGAAAGTTAAAAATATGATTGTCTTTTCTTGCACAGTTAACTAAACAAAAGCAAAAAATTCATATGATCCAAGTACGCCTGAGAAATGGGACAATTTGCAAGCAAGAAAGTCAGATTCCTCTGCTGCAAGAAAACACTATTATGCATGGACAATGTGGATTATTGAAGCAATAACCAGATAGTACCCTGAAAGAAAAGAAACCTGGGAATAGTGGGAGTTAAACTAAACTCTCATTAATTCCCTATAAGCTGTTAAATTTGTAATGTGGCTAACTGGAAACGTTATCTGAACTGGATTGGACCAAGCCTTTCCTTGGAGGGTTTGATGCTGCTGGCACATGGCTGCGAAGCAGATAACTCTGATTGCATGTTCATGAAAAAAGTGTCCACAATATCTACATAGACAGGGCTCTTAAGTCGAGAATAGTAGTGCAGTGCCTCTTCTATGTCTAGCACACGCTCTAGATCACCCGCATCCACCATATCCATTGCCTTCATCTTTTGTGCTAAAACATGAACTTTCTTGTTCATGTTTTCTGAATTGAAGTCCTCTTTTTTTCCGACCTGTGAGCTTCCTTTCTTCTTCTTCTCTTGTGCTCTCTCCTCGTTCTTGCTCTTTTGCAGTCTTTGCCTGGAAAAACAAACGGAGCTTTCAGTGCATGAAGCAGCTTCCATTGCTGACCCGGGCCTGTTGTTGTTACCATACATGTTTATTCGGTTGAGATCAGTCTGCAGGAGATCATAAAACTCACTGTAAAACTGGTCGCTCGTGCGAGTTCTTGCATTGCCAACTCTACAAAGGAATGGATTGAAGGAAAAAGATCTGGGAAGCTTTTGGTACTCTTCAAAGAAGAAAGACAAGAAATTTCGGAAGCCTTTGTTAAGAAAGACCTTGGTCTTGCGAAAGGTTTGTCTTAGCTGCATTTGGGTTTCTACTGTGAAAGTGAAAGGAAGTGGCTTTCTCTTCTCCAGGTTGCTCTCGATTTTTAAGGGCAGTCATGGTTATTATGGGTTCTCTTATTTTGTCTACATTCAGAATTTCAAACAAAGAGAAGTGCGGTTGGTAACTGGCTTATTAATAAGGTCACTTAAAAATCAAAACCAATGTGTTTCCTCTCGCTAGCTTTAAACTCTACCATTTTGTCTACGGCATCTCGTGTTATTTGTCCCTTTCAAATTCTTTTACTGTTAGAAGATCCAATTGAGTCCAAAACCAAACATTGAATAAAAATAAAAAAATAAAAAATTATATAAAGATGAAAGACCTATTAATTTATTGTCTTAAAATTTTGAATAAAAAATAATATTAATTCCTGATATATATAGTTGGACTCATATTTCATTTACTTTTTGTATCTTTTTATTGAATCTCCTGTTCTATAGAACGATCCAACATTAGTGTGTGATAATATGAAAAAAGATTAGAAATTACTTATTTCTCTTCCTGAATCGGGGTGTGATGGTTGACGGCAACGTTAGGAAGTACGAAGTCTGGAGACGTCGATGGAGATCCTGAAAAGAGTTATATTTTCTATTTAAAAGTCTGCCCCACTCTAAAAATGGCTTAGCTGGACGTAGGGTTCAGGGGTCGGAAGAACACTGCACGTTGCGTGGTATCCGTCCCCGATAGCCATTAAAAATCTGGAAGACCGAGTGTCTCCTAGGTCTGATTGTACTCATAACAGGTCTCCAAAATGGTTAAAAATATTTAAAAAGGGGGTAATAATTAAATGATATATTTTTACATTCATTTAACACATGTTATAAGATTAAATTGTCATAAAAGTGTAAATTTTTATATTATTTCAGAAAAGAAGATAGTAAAAAATGAATAAAGATAATCAAATCAACGTAAAAAATTTATATTTACGAAAGAAAATTACTCTTAGAAGAGATTACGGATCTTCGGAAATCAGGTAGTTCTGAACTGAGTTTTTGATAGGTCTGTGTGCATGCTTTGTCATGCAGCTTGACTTTAACTTTATAGTACTACAGTAAAAAAATTAATGCCCCTCAGTAGTGGATTCAGACATTGCTTTTAACAGAAAATTCGGTATGTGTCACTGAGGATAATTAATGGTAGGAACAGAATCTGTTAGGAGTCAATTTGTTGGGAACTGGATTAGAAAGTGGAAGAATGAAAACAAAGATGGTAATCATTGTATTTCCTGATTGTGAAAGAACAGAAAATAGGAGAGACAAATTTTTTTCCAGATTCATTTACATGTATTATTTCTCTCCTTTTATAAAGGATTAAACAAGTCTTTCTCGATAAAGTGTTCTGAATTTTAATATATTTTGCTTCTTAAAATTAAAAAATGAGTGATCCAAATATATTAATTTTTTTATTTGTTCATCGACATCTTAAATTAATATTTAAATTAGAACATAACATGTAAATAGTTCAAACATTAATTTAAAACTATTTGACATATAAAAACAATTTATATTAAAGTAGTAGTTACTCATAAAAACCTAATACCATTATAAACCTAAAATCTTAAAACTTAAAATAAGTTTTATTTTTTTATATGTTACTTAATTTTTTTCATCTCTATTCACAACTTGAATTCATATTTTTAAATAGGTTGGAGTATTTGTAAATAAGTTTATAATTTTGTTATGAATAAAAAAGGAAGTGATATAAGGATGGAAATCCTATGCGGTTAATAGGCGCATGATTTCCCAAATTATGATGTATGGCTAGGTCAGAAAAACCTTGTAATTTTGTAAGAAAAGGGTGATGGTCCCCATTGTATAGTGAGAAGAGTGCATTCCGGTTGCTGCATTGGGGCCACTGTAGGCACTTGCCAGTCTTTTAATTCTTTCACCAACCTCTCTACACAATTATAAAATTATATATATATATATATATATATATATATATATATATATATATATATTATGTATGTGTGTGTTTTCTTAAAATGTTGTATGCCCTGTAAATAAAGCAACTCACATTACTTTCCAAGGGTAAACACAGGCTATACTCGTGACCTCTGCGTACTGATTAAAAAGTGAGCAACGTATATTTACTTCCTGCACACCCATAAATTTTTAAAAATGATTATTTTTTCTCTTATAAAACTGACTATTTACACAAAAATAAGTAGTGTTTTGCTGAATTTCATGCGGATAAAGAAATGGATGGAAAGTGGAATGAAATGAAAGAAAGGGAAAGAGAATAGAAGTTAGGTTGAAGGGGAAGATGGAAAGAGAGGGAATGGAGGAATACATAAACACAAGATAAATAACTTTCTATTATCAACATAAAAGAAAATTATACGTATTAGATTAAAAAAATTAATCGATTAACCAATAAAATATTTAGCTTTTATTATGACATAATAAATAATTCAAAAGATTATTCAAATATATTAATATATGTAACTAAATTTATTCTATCACCGATTTTTCAGTTACTTCTTTTCAATCTAAACACTAACTCTATCCACCTTCTTACTACTCTCTCCTCACCTCAATTCAAAGAAGAGAGAAAATAAATAAATTTGTGTGAAAAGTTATTAATAGATGTGATAATAATAATAATAATAATAATAATAATAATAATAATAATAATAATAATAATAATAATAATAATACATTTATTATAAAATCTATTATAATAAACAAAAATAGAAATGTTAAGACATAATATTATGTTGAAGTATCCTTAATATAAGTTATATATATATATATATATATATATATATATATATATATATATATAAAGATAATCAATTATACAATAATATCTAAGTAATTGTGTAGTAAAACAGAATGAATTATGTAGCAAATTCATTATAATCAATCATATTAAAACATATTTCATTGTGTTATAATATTATAATATATGAATCATGTGCAAGACATTATGCAAAGAAAATTTTCTTTATATTTACATTTTTTGTTTCAATGATTGCATATTTTACCCTTTATAAATTTCTTCAGTCTCTGTCTTTCCGTGATGCAGATCCAAATAAGCTCTAATGGGGGCCATGTAAAACAAGGGTACTTGCCCTTAACTTCACTGTCGGCGTGAAAGGCTAAAGAAATTAGGCAGCAGACATCAAATCTCTTACATTGAATAGGAAATCCAACGAGTTTACTCTCATTCTTTTCTTGGTCACAATATGCCTTTAATTGGTTCCAGATAGGGTTCATTAGTCCCTACCACACTCTCCACTGCCATTTTAAAAGAACGGATATTAAGCACTCCTAAAATCCAATGGTTCTAATTAAAGAGGGTAAAAAAAGGACTAAACCCAACGGGCAAACTCGCTATTTCAGAAAGAAAAAAGCGGATCAGTCGGATGAGCCCAACAACTAGGCTTCATATTAATGTTGGTCAAGCCCTAATAAAATTCGGCGAAAGGATGATATAGCTAGACCAAAATTTGAAACAGTCTAGACAACAATCAGGTTCAACCCTTTTCAGTCTGCAATCAGTCCAACAGCCCAGCATCAATCTATTTCTATATAAAAAATAAAAAATTTCAACCCGTTTTCATGTAATATTAAATTTTAGATGAAAAAAAAAAAAAACAGGCAAGACAATCTGACAGGGGGCCAGGCCAAATAAAGTTTAACCTGTTTTCAATTAGTAAACCAGTTTGATCCAACCCGATTTTGACAAAGCAATATCATTAGGCCAGGTTTAAACAGATTGAATTAATCCATTTTGACACCCATATTTCTACTAAGTATAAATAATGTTGGATATGCACTTTTGGTGATAATAACGCAACTTCAAAATGGCTTGGGTGTTCTGCAATTCTAAAACTGACTCCAGATATCCCTTGCAGAGATAAAATGTTAAATAGAAGAATAGTAAAACTTCCATAAAAAAGTGTATCAGTCAGTGGGATAATGGCCACCTTTGTGGGTTTGCATGCATCCTCAGATGAATAAGTGTATCGGCCAATTAAGCCAACTAGAGTTGGACAAATTTGCAGTTGGGAACTCATTTTTGTATCTTAAATGTGCTAACAGCTTGAACTATTTATAGTCTGCTAACAGGATCGGCTAAAGGGACTATCGGCAGCATGTTTTTTTGAGTTTGAAAAACTGATGCAAGGACCTATGTACCTCACCATAGCTAATAGAAGAAACAAGACGATCTTTTATCCACTGCGGGAGCTTGGTGACTGGGTGAGCCATACTCCGTTTTGAGGAATCAGATGTGTATCTTACATCAACCAACAAAATTGCTGCATAGTCATTAATGTGACGGATAGCTCTACCTGAAATAAACATATTTATCATGAAAGATTAGGAGAAAACCCATTAAGATGTGCCGAATTTGCAGGTACAGATTGCACAACCAACAGAAAATCACCTATTATATAATACCTGGATTTCTTCATTTAATTAACAAACAGTTAACTAATTTTAGTTTTATCTATCGTTATTGTATGATTTTTGCCTCAAGTTCCCATTGTGACGATTAGATCTCAAGATTTCTACCATTTACAGTTAAGCCCCACCACGGATTGCATCACATATTTAATAAAATAAGCGACGAACTAGACAGAGTAGCCATGACAAGACAATGAGTAAATAAACAAACATCCGCTAAACAAACACAGCATCTAAACTACAACGACCCAAAAACTATATATTTTGATGGCATTAACTTAAATGTCGTGTTGAGGATTATTGAGGTCAATTATCGTTTATATGACAACAAAGACCAACAAAAAAACTGTCTTTCATTATAAGCAAATTAATACACAAATATCGGATTGGATGTAATCAAAATGGAGGAACATCCTTTTAGATGAAAGAAAACTAAAAAAACTCAATTGATGCGATTGGAACCGAGAAACAAAAATCACACAACATCTGGGAAACTAAGCATGCAATTGAGCCAACAAATTAACTAACACACATATTGAGTCTTGAGAATCCAATCTTAATTTTTAAATAAATAATTTAAACCAAATAGATCCTACGAAAATTGGTTTCTTCCAAAACAATGCTCAACCTCGTATGAATATACACCCCACAGAAATATCCTTTAGGGGGGTTACTATAAGTTGTAAGTACGCACCTATTGATTGATTTACAGCTTTCATGCAGAGATTCTCATAGTACTCTTTTCCTCTGTGAGTGCAACTTCTTAAGACAGCAAAACCACCTTCAACATGTCCACTGTATAGATCATAACTCGTAGAAACGCTAGAATTATCAAGCTTTAGATTTTGAAAACGATCAATGTGCTTTATCCTCTCCAACAACTCTATATCAGATGGACTAGCATAGGGTAGTCCAACCATGACTATACATCGGCCCATCCCATCACTTAAGTTGATCCCTTCAGATAACTTCGCACCAACAACAGCAAGGAGTATTGCACCACTACAAGATGCTTGGTTTACTTCTGAATTCATACCCGATAATGTATAAATGGTATCTTTATATTCCTTGAGAACGGATTCAACGTCCATGTTATTTCTTGGCTCCCTAAAGACACGCTTCCTCTTTGTAATCCTTTCAAGGATGCCAGATAATTCCCAATGCTCATAGACTCTATTTTCATAATCAAAAGATGGGAAGAAGACAACAATTCCTTCCGGAACCACAGTAACCAGATTACACAGCAAAAGACCCAGTTCTCTCATCTATAAAGCACAAGATGCAGCACAATCAGTCATTTTCCACAATTAATATTTCATTAAATTAGACTGAAGAATGAGGATGGAACAATGCCCACTCACCATGTCTGGTGAGCTCCTGGAGCTGAAGCTAAAATCAAAGGTGCGTCCAGTAGGCCCCCGTGCAACAGCAATTGGCATAATGCTATCTGGAGGAACAATATGCCCACATGAAAAGAAATGCAACTGGTTTGGTGGTAACCATGGAAACAGTCTCTCCCTAGTCTCTTCTATTGGTTGAAGTGTTCCCCCTACTAATACAACGGCATGTGCTTCATCTACAATCTAGAGAAAGTTTCCTAGTTATTTTCTTCTTCATGAATCTGTTTGGAAGAGAAACTTACAGCTACAGAATAATTTCTAATTAAGACAGCAGTATCAGGCAAACCTCAGAAAAAATCTTCTCTCCACTGAGCATAACATACTTCAGATATCCTCCTTGCTTCTTCAGGCTTGTTAACCTGAACCTGGAAATTATTATCCTTCCATCACCATCATTGTTTGTCAGTGATAGTAACATGTTAGCTAAGGCCTGGAAAGCAGATAGACAGCTTCCCTCCTCGGCATGTTGCTCGATGTTATGGTGTGCTGGTATCTTTGCCATGGCAGCAAACTTTTCTCCATAACCACTAACCTGGAAAATCAAGAAAACTTTCATATCAAACCGACAACAGAACATTCAGAAGCATAGTGTGGGATTCACTCTAAAGAAAAAGTATATATTACGTGCGAAGATTCACCTTGTGCATGATATTACTTTCTTTAATGTATTTCAACAATTTGACCAAGTTGATATTGTCTATATTTTGTTCAAATAAAAAATCATTGATGGCCATAGTAAAATCGGAGCTACTTTTTTCAGAAGCTTGATCTATATCACGGCAAGAATCTATAAGGTTTCCATCTTTATCATCAAGAAGTACTCGGAGAAATGCTTGTGTGAGGACCATGAGAGTTTGAATGTATCTCCTATTAGTAGAACCCAAAAGACTCCGGAATCTCAGAAAGTACCGTTCCAAATGGTTGTGCACAGTCTCCAGCTGTAAAAAGTAGAGGACAATCATATAATAGTTGACGAAAAATTAAACATCCCAAGTATGGGTGTAAACAAAATACAACTTGCATGATGTCTAATGTTTGCAATTAAAGCAACTGTATTTGCAAATCGCTGATCCATGATCATTAATTTCCTTTGGTTTCGTAGGCTTTCCAGACCAATAACCTAAAATAAAATATTGACTTCGCTAAGATGATTGGGAAGGCAATGCTGACAGAGTTCTCAGGGTAGATTACAATAGATAGTATCAACTTATGGCAAAAGGGACCCAAAAATGCCTATACAAAAGCTCATTGCAACTCTAGACCAGCTTTTAAAAGACACTGTCAAAATTTCAAACGAGGTTAAGATAGAAATGACAATCATACCTGTGATAAAGTAATTTTGGAGTCATACATGTTGATGAGTGAATCAGCTAAATTATGAGCCTCGTCTACTATAACAATATTGGATTTCAAATTCAGGCCGAGGGCATCACGAGATGATTTTGAAAGAAGAGATTGATATGGTAGGACAACAAGATCAGCTCTTCGAACCATGCTTCTAGACCCATAATATGGACAAGTTCCCATAGTTCTTCCGAGATTTGCAAGATCTTCAATATCCAAGGGTCTTTGTTGAAATACCTCATTTCTAAATTCTTGTTGAACTCTGTGTTTTCTAAGCATTGGGCAGCCAGAGGTGGCCTTTGTTCTGCGTATCCCTGAACCTACTTTTAAGTTCTGCAAGTCAGATCAACCATTGTTCAAAAGATATTAGTGTCTACACTCCTGCCTTCTTTACTCAATTTCAAAAGCTTTTACTAGCACTAAGTAGTGAATACCAAGATATATATACTTATCAGCTCAACATTAAGCTTGTCATCTTTAAAAACTGCACACCTTAACTTTTTTAGCATCATTTTTCTTTTTCTTCTGAAGTTCCAAACATCGCTCATTTATGCGTGTAGAGTTTCCAAGTGCAACTACCTCTGCAAAGCATGAAAGCACGCAACAAATCATGGGTAAAATATAAGACCATCTGCAGCTACTTGCGCTTCAACAATTGAAATAGAAAGGATAACAAAAAGAAGTATCATAGTGAAGCAATCTCAAAACCTTCATTAATGCAAAGATTTTTCCTAGAGCCTAAACTCACAACCTTCATCTCTTTAGCGAAGACAGTCCTCCGCAACTCCTTTATGAACTGCGAAAGCTGCGAATGAGTTCTACTACAGAAATAAACCTTCAACTTCTTCTCCTCCTCTTCCTCTTCGCTAGACTCATCTTCACTAGAGGAACTAAAGGAGGTGTTAACAGTCTTCCTCTTGGACATATTACTCCCTGGCCCTCTCTCATCTTCACTCTCGTATTCCTCCAATAAAAATTCCTTATCAGTAACACCCACTGCATCAATTTTATTTTGCGGACTCTCACACCCCTTCTCCTCTCCAGCACCCATAACCCTAAAATCCTTACGAATTTCCGTCCTCTTTTTCCTACTATGAGATTTTCCCCACGCAGACCCGTACTTTTCTTCCTTCTTATTATTCTCCACTTTGTTGACGACAAAGTCTCTCATCCAATCAGGTTCGTCATCTGAACCAACTCCACCACCACTCCCCGGATTCTCATCACAAACTGCTTCCTGTTGTAGCCTCTTATCAAGCACCCATTGCAAGGCACTGGAAATCACACTCATGGTCTTCCCTGTCCCTGCTCCAATCAAACACTCATTTTAGCATGACAAAAGGATAACCTAACTGAATCCAATAAAGCAACCTTGATTTCAATTACAACACGAAATTTGAAAAAATAGAAGTTAGTCACCGCTCACCAGTTGGGCTTTCCAACATAGACACGCCTCCCTCATTGAGAGATTCATACAAGCTGTTCATGAAATCAATCTGAATCGAATAGGGCTCGAAAGGAAAACCTGGGAATTTTGGCGCTACTTCTTCATCTACCATTTTCAGTGTGCTATTCGAGTACAGGCAATCCTGTTATTCTTTCCATATTTTATTTCCATCGTTTCTCTTTTGGCGGGAACATAACTTTACCCTTTTTTTTTTGGCACTGCTATTTAATTGGGCCGAAGACGCAAACCAAAAAATATATCAAATTTGTTTTTATTTTCTGCACCCCCTTATTACTAACTGCACTCCTCAATCACTTCATCACATCACAGCTGCCACCACTTCTGTTTTCATAATCACTGCTGCTGAAAAGGAAGAAGATGAGGAAATATACAAAAAATTCATTTCAAAAAGCTTTTTCTGTAACACGTGTTTCAGAATGTTCTTTCTAGAACATATTTTTTGTTGGGGTGTTTAAAAAACTTTTTTTCAGAAGGTATTATATGTGTTCGAAAAAATTAATTATGAAAATCCTATTTCGAAATGCATTTACTATGTTTTGGAAATTTTGTTTCAAAAATTTTATTCAAAAAATCTAGTTCTGAAAATTTTATTCCATGAATTCAAAACTCGGTTTCACGGAAGGTAAAGTGCTTATTTTCTAATTTTGAATCGTGTGGTTCAAGAAGTAAAAGGCTATAATATGTCCATAATCCTCATCCCGAAGCAATTAATAGATATTAACAACAGAGCTCTTTCGCTTTGTTTTTTTTATCTCCTCCTCTTAATTTTATTTTATATGCAGTATTTCGACTTGATGATTGAAAAGAACTTTTGTTTTAATTTCTGTATTTGGTCTCTTCCAAGTTGAATCTTAACTATGTTCCGGTCGGCTGTTTTCATGTTTACTATCAACAACGGAAAATTGAATAGCTCTAAATCTTTTATATTTTTATCTCTGTCGTCACTGGCATATACTTCCTTCAAGGGTGTAAAAAATTAATTTTTGCTTTGAAGTTTGTTAAAAAAAAAAGTATTGTAGTGATGAATTTGCAATAACATAATTTTGTTAAATAAGCTGAAAATGGCAGAATCATTCGTCCAAAATATTTGCTCGTTGAAATAATGAGTTAGATACATTTTGTCTCGTATTTTAATTCGAGTTTAGTCTTCTAATTTTTATTTTATTTTTTTACTTTAATCTTTTACGATATTGTTATTATATTAAGTAGATGGTTTCGTTAGTTTATTACAAAAGATAAAAGCTGTGATATCCAACTTATCAGTATTATTTTGACCACGATCGTAGCAAAAGTTTATATATTAACTTTTTAACAAATTTTATTAGAATAGCTGTACGTCAGATCTCATCAAATGTTAAAATGTGTTTCTCAATGAAAAGAAAATGCATAGGTCTAAGCGAAAAAAAAAATTGAGTTTATATGATCTCTCTCTATCCTATTTATAAGATAACTGGCTCTATGTAAATTATAGCAAGTATTTATAAATAAGAACTTTCAAGAACTGTTTCATTTAAAAAAAATGTTGTATTATAACTTGTATTGATTTTAATCCGTTTAATAAGAGCTTTCTCACAATAAACGGATCACTTAGACGAGGGAGCCCACCTTGGCAGTCGTCTGGCACAATTATCTGACAGCAGATGGCTTGAAAAAAAAATCCAATAAAGAATCTTAAAATAATTGCATTGACTCAAAATTTACATCTGATTTGCCTGAAAAAACGAACCTTAATTACAAAACCTGACTTTATAGGTTGAAAATTTGAATTGCCTTTGTAGCTCAGTAGTTGGATGCCGGCGGTTGCAGAGAAAGGGCAACCCGACCAAGAAATATCACAAGAAAAAAAGTGTATTTCCGAAGACAAAGAAAGCGCTTCATCTGATATTTACTGTGTTCTGAACTCACCAAATTTATGCTTTTCGTCGTGCAGCTGCTTGAAAATATCATCAAGCTCTGGAAATGCCGACGTCAGAAGTAGCTCCAGGATGTCAAAAGCCAGCTGCTTCAAGCAAACGGATGACTGCAAGAAAGTCAAAAGGATTGTGTACGACTGTTATTAGTGTAACACATCTTGAGCTCTTCATTCATTGTGCCCCTATTCAAAGTAATGTGCTTGTGAAACAATTGCTCAAGTAATGACTCAAGCTACAAAAAGGAAAACCCCAGAGTCCACTCCTGTCATGAAAAATTGCTATATCCGAACAACACCATAGCTCAATAACAATAACCAATCATCAATAGACTAATTTCTTAACCAATAAAAATTTCAACATATTGATTACACTAGAAAGGTGTCAATATGAAAAGCATTTCACGAAAATTGTACCAACATAATCTCCGTGAGAATTTGACAGAAAAACTCGTTAACCAGAAACTGTGATAATGATCATATCTATATGAGCAACCATCTCAGACAGATCTAATCAAAGTAGTAACCGTACCATAAAATATATAATCATGCTCGTGCCCCGAGCGAGTGAAGTGAATTATACATTGGAATGCAATGTCCAGCATCATAGCATAGTGGGACAATGTTACAACTTAGAACCACCAAAAAATTAATAGATAACAAAAGAAACTTCTGTTGACAACTTCAATACTTAGACAGAAATTACCTGAAGGAAAAAATATAGATCTCTAGCACTTTGCTCATACTCCTTCCGACCAACAAGACCTACAATTGCTGGTGGTGCTTGATCTACATAAAAAGGATGTGTGGCTAAGTAGAATACATTTTCCGGTGGAATTAGAAACAAGACATTGAATAAACCCAATTCTGCAAATAAGTGAGAGCAGTATAGCAGGCATTACCAATCATTAACTCATATACAAATTTTGCACGCCGATCTGCCTCCCGTGTCTGTTCATCTTCCAACATAGGAGAAGATACTTGTGTAGTTTGATTACCACGAGGAGAACTTTGAGATGGGCTTCTAGGTGGTGGTGGTGGTCGTCTATTTGGATGCTTGGTTATGAATATTCCATCAGGCCAGAGTATCTGTAAAGAAAATTGCAGTCACAATATATTATCAGTACAATACTAGAATGGTGATCATATGCTTATTAGGGGAATTGAAACAGTTACAGAAATTTAAAAGGGAAGCGGGTCAGAAGATTACTTGCTCTACTCGCTTGACCCCTGAAGCAATCACTGATCCCTTTCGAAGAAGCAGGATTTTCTCAATCAACCAGTCATCAAATGCGTCACCCATTCCTAGTTGTAAGACTTGTTTAGCAACCCAAAAGGCCTTCCGCCTGTATTGCACACAAGTGTAAAACGAAACAGATGATAACCAGTGGAACTTATTAAACAACTTATGTTTAAGGTTAAATGAACATGAATTTTCAAGTCACCTAATCCATCCACCATCTTGAACCTGTAAGATAACGTCAACCAAATCCAATATAGGTACACTCAAATTTGGCGGCACCCACTGCATTAAAGAATTTTATATTAATCAGAACCAAAGATGATCAAGCATATAAAAGTAGAACAGTATAAAAAATCAAATACAGTCATATATCTGTTTGAGAACAGTAATGAATGATAAAGTTTAATAATACATCTATTGCTGAAAAGAAAAAAGAAAATCCAGAATTAAAACTTATTGTCGCTGTAACCTCTGTTGGAAAAGCATCAGAAGTATCACGGTGCACTTCAGAGACCTCATTCGAACTATCTCTTCCTTTCACTGTCTTTTGCGAGTCATTGGGAGAAGGTGCACTCTTTTGTGCTAGAAAGTCTGTATTTCCTCTAGAATTGTCAAATGACTTTGTAGGTTGATGTGTATTCTTTTTTGGTAGAGAAAGAGGCAAGTTGTTTACTTTTGACCTCAATCCATCGGCCCCAACATTATTTTTTCCTTTCATAACTGACTCTTTACTTTCAGCACTACAGTTTTCTCTCCGGAAGGACACAGGATCGCTTGCAGGTGCATGAAAGTGAGAAGTGTTTTTAGTCTTCTCAAATGGCTTGGCATCCAAGCCGGCTAGAATAGTTTCAACAAGGAAGAAATGAAAGACGTGTCAATAGATGGGCGAGAGATAATAAAACTATGAGTGTTCACATTCTTCACCAACCATGTCTCACCTGATAATGTTTCCATGATAGAAAAAGAATTTGAGAATATGTAAGTCTGCAATACACATGTGATGATAAGAGATGAGTAAAATAATTGTTAAAAAAGAAATATCCACAGCACTAAAGGGAGGATTGAACAAGAAATCAGACCTGAGAATCAACACTGAGAAAGTCCCACACTTCAATTGATTCCGAAACTGTTGGTAGTTGCATAAGTTTCTGAGGGCCAATAAGACATGCGTCAACAAATATTGGATGATTAGTTGAAAATTGTTAGTAAAGACAAGAACAATGCTACATGATAGATGCAAAACGAAGTATTATTTCAAAAGAGGGGTACAATCATACAATAATACAACATCTATCCTGCTGGTAAGAGAATATTGGTGACCCCAGTTCCATCACAGCACCAAAAGCAGATAAAATGTTATTCAACAAAATAAAAACAAGAATGTGAACACAACAAAAAAGAACAAGCCATGCAAATTTTATCCAAAAGTGTGTCTACTGCCTCGCATTGGGAAGTGGAATGGAGAAACTAAGAAATGTGAGAATTTAATTAAAAAAAGTAAGTTAAGTTGACCTTCAAATATTTATCCAGTAATTCACACCGCTCTTGAATGACTGGTACATCTAAACCAGTTGACAGAAAATGTTTTGGTGGCAAATGAAGATTATACTCAGAGAACTCTTTCAGGCGTCTATGTAGCTCCTCAAAATGACGAAACCTTGAAAGAAAAACCAATGTAAGAAAAAAAGAAGGAAGCAAAACAATAAACATGTGAAAACAGAGTAGATTGAAATTTTTTATTAGAAACATTGATATAAGACACCAGAGACGTAGCACCTTCTTTTAATTGACCAACTGTTATTATTTATATCTGTAACGGATATGGAGTACACAGCAAATGTTTTAGAGCCACTCTTCACAATATTTGCACCTAAGACCTGCGGCAGTAAATTAGCTTACATTTTTTATACAAGCATAATATAGCACATGAATTTATTCATCATTGATTAAATGAGCGGGTTATGACCATCATAAGTACCTCACATCTCAACTTGTAAAAGGAATCCAACCCAGAGGAACTTTTCAGGGGAGTAATAGGCAAACTACTAGATTCTGTTTTAGAAATAGAGTGGGCAGAAGAAGAGGCTGCTGCTCCACTATAAAGTCTGCTCAAACTTTCAATATCAGCATCATCACTGGACTCCTCAGAATCCACATGTGATTTTGAAGCATTAAGTATGTCTTGACCATCACCAGATAAAAAGCTTGTCCTCTCAACTTCCTGCCACGTTTGCATTTTATGAACACCTGACCAAGACCTTTTATTGCCAGATTGGGCTCTGGATAGTCTTGAATAGCGAGAATGGCTCTTGTTCCTTTTCTTTGCACTGTGATTGTCAAAATTTTCAAGTGGGTGATGAACATGAGAAACTGCCTGCTTTCTATTACTTCTTCCATCCCAAACCTTAGTGACAGGGGAATCAAGACCAGTGACAGTACTACTTTCATCATCTTCAGAAGTATAAGATGTACTGCTCTCTGAATCACTTATCTGCCCATAAATGTGGATGTTCTCATCCTCTTTGTATGATGTAACTGACTCATCGTCCTTACATGAGGTAACTGAACTTGATCCATTCTTGTCCACATGAATGGATGTATTTTCAACAGATAATTGACTACTGTGTCCAGAATTAATGTGGCGTCCCTTTTGGGGAATAAGCTTGGAATTATTATCTCTTTGTTTGGGTCCAGATATTGCTTTCATGTGGTCTACCTTTGGCAGTTTCCCTACCACAGGATGCTGTGTAACATGCTCATTTGACTGGTTATCACCATCTTTTTTCTTGTAATTTTTCCCTTTAGTCCACACATTCTCAAAATGTTCAGGAGCAAGAGCTTGGGTCTTTCTGCGAGAGATGACATCTAAAATATCTCCCCACTCTCCACCTGAGCGATGTCGTTGAATATTTTGGTCACCATTAGTTTGGGGGTTTGCAGATAGTGAGCTCCATGTACGGGAAGATCGAGTATCCACTGAAACTGAAAGCAATGGATCTTTAATAGTATTATCACGAGCATTTTGTTCTGCAGAAGTCTCTACATTTCTTGATTGACCATTTTTTAGCTGCACAAGCTCAACACCAGTAACAGAAGGATCTGAAGTCTTGGCGAAATCATGAGAGGAAGCCTGTAACTCATCTTCTTTAGTGTGAGATGCCTCTTGAGCTACAGTAACCCCCTTGTTAACCTTGGTCTTGTTAACCACTACGGATTCAATTCTCTCATTAAGAAATCTATCAACAAAAAAGGGGGACAATGAGAACAACATACATACGTCAAAAATGGTACAAAAATGGGGAAAATGGATACCTTGGATTTGCTAAGTTTAGGACAGGTCGTATTACAGCACATGCAAGAAGCTCCCTGACAGTATATCGAAAGAAAGAACACCGCAAATCCTCAGACTTGAAAGTAGCATGCATAAGACCGGTCATCAGATGCTGCAAAACCTGCAATTTAAAAACACTCAACAATATAACCTAAAATTGAGAACACAAGAAAATAACATGGCTCATGGACGAAAACAAAACACCCCTTACTCAATGCAAGCATATAAAACAAGAAAGGGAAAAAACCTTATGCTCAGCTTCTGCAGAAAATAATGCAGGATGCAATTTGTTCTCAGCAGCCAAAACAATTTTTAGTTCCATGTCTCGACTTTCGATTGTTAATGGACCAGTATGATGTTTTCCAATTGTTGAATGGGCAGCACGAAACAGCTCCAAGTGTGTGCAAATAACATTAACAAGATCCCTGAACCAAAAAAAGCTATCTTCCTTTCAATAAAATTACAATCTGATATAAAAGAAAAATTGCAGACAAAAATGTCACCACGAACCTTATTAAAAAATCTATCAAATTTATGTTTCTCATACGTCCTGAAATTTCCCCAAGAACACCATTAATTATTTGCACTAACTCCTCAGGACCCTCTTTGTCTGGTGTTAACCGAGAATACCAAAGATCTGTCACCCACTCAGAAATTAAATGTCTGGTGAAGTGATCAATTGCATCCTCAACGACAGGAGAATTCACTTTTGTTCTCCATTCAAACTTTGCAATAACTTTAGGATTTTCCATAGGCTTCTTTGAAGACTGAACATTGATGGAGCCTGCTTTATTGTTGTATGCTGCTGCTTTTCTCTTCATTTCAAAATCTAACGACAAATAGCGGAGAATAATAATCAAGGAGGCTGCAGCTGGCAAGTTGACCCAAACTGAGGAGCTTGTTACTGAAATGAAAGAAAAAGAAATTAAACCAAACAACAAGATCTAAACACAACATGAAGCTACAAATTAACAAGTGAGAACCTCTTAATATGCACAATTTTCTAAGTACCGAGAAATAAGACTTTGCTTGGAGACATGAACCAGTACCAACTAAATTTATCATTACCAAAATAACACAACAGCAGTAGGTGTGTCTGAGAAACCAGCCTTAGCTGATAAAAGTGATGAAACTCAACTAAAATGTAGGGCAGCTATGGTTTCATTGAAAAATAATATTTTATGAATTTTTGTATCTACTTTATTCATAATTTAGATAAAAAAATGTGAAAGCCTTTGAAGAAAACAAAATCTGCCCCTCTCCCCTTAAAAAAAATTCAAAACTATCAAATCCTTCACTGACCTCTACTCGTTTTTTTCTTTCTTTCTTTATCCCTAGTCCAAACCCAACACAGTCACAGAATTAATTTTTATTAAGTTTCCACTTCCATCTACTTAAATATAATTATGGTCATGTTTTTCTTATCTCGTTAATACTAAATTGGAAACGCACAAAAAAGCATAAGGAGGAGGCATCACAAGAAAAGAAACCATAAATGTTAATACCTACGTGACGACATCATTACACAGATATATTCAGGGTTGCAATGCATGACAAAAGTGGTCAAATAAAATTTCACAACGAATTCTAATAAAACTGATGTGATTTTCATAGAACCTATTTTAGGAGGTTTCATAAAATTGTTCTTTGCCAATCTCAAGGTAGATTCCTGTTTCTATATGTATATATTATGAAAGCTTTGGACTGTTATTCACGTTTCTTACAACACCCATGATTTTGCAATATCTATAGTAGTGTACTCTATGTTAAAAGACAGTAGTAGTTCCCTCAGTTGTCCGGAAATCTTGAGATTCTACCCAGTACATGCCAGGTTCTCGCCACAATGATTGCTAACCCAAATTCTTTCCAGCATTTCATATTTCCATAATGGATCTCACTTTGGTTAGTACCGTATTACATCACCAACAAAAACAAAGAAGTAAGTAACACATCTATAGGAAATTAAAGAAAACAGCAGCTAGTCTTTGATAGTGAAAATTTTAGGAATGCAATTACTAAAGTAACACTTTGTACTAAAAATTATCATTTAATTTGACAATAAATCTATATTTTGCTTCCCAATAGCAACAAGAAAAATAAGTGGAATCCAACAGATTTTTCCTCCCACGGAAAACCTCCAACGTCTTTTGTACAAAAGAGCTCCAAACGACGTCGTAGTCTTTAAAAACTGATAAACCATCGATCCTATGTCCTAACTTCAACAGCATTGTTAAAATTGATTTTTCCATATTCAGGAGCAATTGATGCTAAATACCACACGAATTTATCCCTACCATTCATCGTACAGCAAGTAATGCAATAACGACTATAAATACCTGCAAAACCCTCAGCACGAGATTACCATAACTAGAAGAAAGAAAAAACTACTGAAACCAACACAAGCAAAAGCATGCAAACTACTCTCTCAATTGGAGTTGATTAAACAAAAGAGAAACAATCACGTAGACAAATGAAGTGAAGGAAAACGAAAGTGAAACTCACAGGACATGAGATAGGAGATTCCGACGACGCATACAACGAGGATGACGATCCGTTTTTTGGCTTCCTCGACGAGGTCTCTCACTACCACCTGGTTTGGCTTTGGCGGCATGTTCATCGCAAACGAAATTCTCCAAATCGCCGCGCAATTGGAAAAGTAAAAACTCGATTCAAATCAAGTGAGGAAAATTCCGCCGAAGATACTTACGAAGAATTGGAGAGAGAGAGAAAGAGAGAGAGGTTAAATTGAATCGACGAACGTGTGGCCGTTAGGTTTTTCGGTAGCGTTTGCCGGCGAAGGCAATGAGGTGGTGGTGGCGTGTGTGCTTGATTTTCTCACTTTCTGTGTCAGTTTTGTTTTGAACTCTCACCTGATATTGACGACGTGGGATTCATTTCTTCTTTCTTTCTTTCTTTTCCACTCTCATTCCATCTATGCTTATGCAGCTATTGCCATTTTCATTTCCTCTGCGCTCATCATTTATGTTTTATTTTATTTTATTTTATTTTATTTTATTTTATTTTATTTTATTTTATTCTATTTTTCAAGACACGATTGAACTCTTTACCTCATCATTTTCTTCTTTTTTTTTAAATCCATTTTGTTAAACCAACAAACAAAATAATTGGATTTATTGACCGTTGCATTATGAGAGAGATGTGTTATTTTAACCTTCTTTAAAAGGTAATCCGAAAATTAAAAAGAAAACCGATAAAAAAATATGGAAACAAAATAAAAATTTCCAAGAATGTTAATTAAAAAGGAAAAACAAAATTCTTAGGTATAAAATATTACTGAATACATTGATAAAGATTAATTATAAATATATGTATATGTGATATATCGTAAAAAAAAAAGAATTTCACTAATTAAGAATAAAACGTGTTTATAGAAGATTGACAGCAAAAATGGTCCATGCATGCAGACATTGCGTATAGAATATTATCCACTTATTATGTTCCAAATTGCAAGCTACCAACAAATGTGTTTTATTTCATGGGAAATTTTTATTTAAGTTTTTACTATTTAAAAATCACTTTTCAATGATATAATTTCAAATTTATGAAAACAAAAATCCATAAATACTAGTGAATAATAAAAATCTGAGTATTTTTCAAATAAGTAATCGACACGAAAATCATAAGATTAGGTTAAAATCATATATTATAAGGCCTAAAATTACCTTATAAAAAATCAGTCTGATCCATGAGTATGTGTTGACCCTACAATATAGTCTAAAATAAATTTCTCAAAATCTATCACAATATCAATCACATTATTTCATCTTTTTTTCTATTTAAAAATAAAAAGTTCGTTTCCAACAAACTTCAACATAACAAGTCTTAGCTGTGAGGGGATTAGAAATAAATATATATATATATATAGATATATATATAT